GGAATTTTTGCTGTTTTAAATGGAAAAACCCCAAAAATCCAAAACCTCAGCGGGGAAAAAAAAAAAAAAAAAAGATGATAAAACACTTCCCTCGCAGGGCTGGTGTAAGGGAGGGGGAAAACACTGCTTATCTGAAGCCTTTTCCTATTTAGCAGTATTCTGAAGAGCTAAAATATTTCCTGAAAGGTTAACACTTGTGTGGCCAGAGCGCGCAGTATCCACCTTGGGAGAATACACAGTATTAGAAAACAACCAGCTTGACCCCCCTGAGGTCAGAGCCAAGTTACAGCTCTCCACTGTCCCGGAAAAAGCCTCTTTTAACAGCATCAAAGCAAAATGCCTCAAATTTACAGCTGCATGAAACCTCCCCACAACCGCACGGCTCGACTGCTGCCCTTCGCTCCCTGTTCCCTGGCAAGCTTCCACGTGAAACAAAGGCAACCGCGGGGCTGTGCAGGAATTTGGAGCTGGGTGGAGAGGCTTTTGCCGAGTTATTGTTTTGGGCAGAGGAGTAGGAAGAAAGGGAGTGCAAGAGAGCTCAGGAAACAGACTGAAAATGCAGTTCTGAGGCAGGAATTAGCACTAATTCCCAAAGCTGTGTGGTTCAGAGGGTGGGTTTTAGTGGTGATGGGGGCTGGAAAAGGTTTGGTGCTGGTTTTAGGGGGGAAAAAGCTGTAGGATTTACCCCCTCCACATCCAGATAGCATGAACAAACAGCAGAGGTCCAAAGGGGACATGCCACATCCACTGTCCCCGCTTCGCAGAAGAGGGAAGAAGGTGGAACATACCTCCATCCCCATCAGCACCAGGGGCCTAATTAATATTTCTGATCGAGCAGCATGCAAACACGAAGCATCATTAAATCCACAGGCCAAACCTACAGGGATTTCTGCCACCCCCAGTAATTCTAAAGCAAGACACGAACCCGCTCGTACAAAACTCCTGCTAAGGGCTTGCATCCTCTTATTTTCAGGCCGTTTATTCTCGATACGGCAAAGATCAAGCACTCGCAGAAGAAACCTGACATCTGTCAGGATTATTCACCTCCAGCATAGCGTGTGCGCTGCCAGCGACATTTAACCATGTTCCTCCTTCGCCTTCAGGAACCTGAGTGGTTCCTGTGGGATCCTGGCTGCAAATCCCAACACTCCTGCCGCCGCACACGGCTCCCAGCGGGACGATCTCCTCCCAACCCCTTCCTATCTCATCTCGTCAGTTAAGATAGCGAGGTCTGAGTAGGCACAGGGGTGGGATCATCAGGCTTAATGTTATTTAAGCGCTAGGAAAGCCCAGGGGTTTCATTGGTCATGACACCGAGTTGCCGTATGGCACCTTTGGGGGCTTGGGGACAGTGGTCACAAAAGGGGCTTCGAGCAAAACCTCTGACTCCTGGCCTGCCTGGAGCATCACGAGATGGAGAGGCTGGAAGAGTCAGAGCTCACTTACCTGGTACTTCAACTGCCAAATATTTCTCCCGGGTTTGCAGCCTGTATACCAGCATGTAAGCATTGCGCGAGCAGTGAGTACCTTTCCCGCACTTGGGTCTACGAGTCTGGGATTTTGAAGGTTCCGCTGCGGTACAGAAGGCAAAACATAATAAACACACAAGCCCGCTTACTGATTCTCCATTAATGGGACGAGTTTGCCACCTAGCCGGCTTCCCTCTCCCCATGTGTTCTGCCAGGCCTCTTTTTGCCAAACGCTGGGCTTGGCGTAAGCCAAAGTTGTATCCCAAAGCCAGACCCAAATCCCTCCAGCATTTCTGGAAGCAGGGTAATTCAAAGGGACTCAAATTAGGAGCCTGCTCTGAACCGCCCTCTACAAGAGCCTTTCTTTTCTCCCCAATTAAACCTCACCGAGCCAAAAGTGGCTCTTGCAAAAACATTCTTTCTTCCCCTCTGCCTCTTGTTCTGGTGCCCTTACACCAAAGAGCAGAGTCAGATCTTCAAAGAAGAAAATCTTATTCACAGGTGGTTGCATACGTGAGAAAACAGGCACCCTTCTGTTGGGCAACAAAGCTTTTAGGGAGGGAACAGCCCCCAGAGCAGCTGGTGCTGCGATGTAAACTTGTGCTGCAGGAGTTGTCATTTCCAGACGGACTGCCAGGCGAGGAAAATCCCACTTATCTACAGCTGCAGCGTCAAAACTCAGCCGGTTTTTTAATTTAAAAAAAAATAAAGGAAGAACCCTCCATAGGTCAGACTCTACAGTGAATATTGACATATTAAGTGTCTGTCTCTCCCAAATTCTGGAAAGAATCACGTGCCTCTCCCACCACACCATCCAGGGGACTTTCCTAGACGCTCTTTATTTGCATTTTCTCCAAATATTTTCTAAATTGTTCCCCATCTGTGTGGCCAGGCTGCAGGACTCTCCCCACAGCAGACCCCTGCGGCACGTTACCGACCTCCTGCCATTGCGCGCATTTGTAACAAAGAAGAGGCTCAGTTTTGCAAATAACATCAGCACTTGATAAAAATATCAAAGCTCCCAGCCCACAGAGGCTTCTGAACACGCTTTACTTATATTCTCCAAGCAGCCTTGTGTTTCAGCAACAATACTGACTGGCAGTTAAGCATAATGCTTTGCAAGATCGAGGCCACAGCGGTTTATTTGCATCTTAATTTTGCTATGCTGGGTAACTCAGGAGGTTAAAAGGAAAGGCTGAGAAGCTCTTTTTTCCTTTTGGGGCTTATTTTTCTATCTTACACCACTAGATGTCTAACCAGCTTCACAATTTGCTTGGAAGCAAGTGGTAGTCAAACGTTAATAGGATGACAAAGCTGCTCCGGCGGCAGCCAGCGTTTATGTACGTCGGGATGAAATGCAAGGTGGTGTTTACTGGTGAAAATAAAGCGGCGTCACACAGATGCAGGCACAGAAGGGAACAGGAGAGGGAGGCCGATGCCCCACGCCTGCTCGAGGGCGTGCTCAGGCTGACATGGCTTTACAACAAACCAAGGGAGCAAGTACATCCAAGGGTGCCTTTTCATTAAGCTGTTGTTTTAAAGAAAGGCAACATTTCATGAAGTCCAGTTGCAGCAAGGCACAAGTGTCCTGGTGGGCCAGGGTTTCTGGGAAGGGATTGTCTGCGTTATAACTGAAGTTTCTGGTGTTAACGTTCCCCTTTCCCGATACTGCAAAGCGTCCAGCACTAAGGAACACTGAGCGATGGCAAATCCGAGCACTCGGATGCCAATTTAACACTGAACCACTCCTATAGAACCGCAGACCAAGAAACCCACAGGCTGAGGCTCAGCCCAAGCTCTCCCAAGAAATCATGACCCGGTCCTGCCCGGGGAGCACAGTTTTCTGGGGCAGCACCAGGACACTGGCACAAGATGAACTGTCAAGGGTAGAACAGAAGAGCGCAAAGGAGAAGTGAGAAGTGCAAAGTAAAAAGGCAGTTTTGGCTGCCAAGCTGTTATTTGGATCAAGATTTTTTTTTTTTTTTTTTTTTTTTTTGAGACTCTTTAATGCCTCCAAGTAAAATACCTCAGTGGAAGTAAAAACATAACGTGTTAAGGAAACTGAAAGCAATCTCGTTATCTGTTCCTAAGCCTCTTCTTGCACACCAGCCAAGGAAGCGGCAACTTGGCTGTTTCATCCTGATAGGCAACCGCTGCCCGAGTTATCAGCGTCTTATCTGCCATGCGGCAGGCAAGAGAATTACTAGAGTAGAGGAACTGATCACAAGATGCGTGTAAACACTCACATGGGGCTGAAACGAAGAAAATCTGGCTGCAATTAACAGAACTGCCATTTCGCATGCTACTCCCAAGACGTGACAGCACACGTAGGAGCATTTTTGTTTTAAGAGTATCAGGGCTTCCACATAGTCAGCCTCCATGTTTTTGGTGAAAAGAGTTATTTTAAAAGGGCACTCACAACTTAAAGGTTTTACCTAGATCTTCCTCAATCCCCAACTGCAGTTTCTTCCCTTCCATCTTTTCTATGTCTTCATCGTTAAATTTGTACCACTCGCCCGTCTGCGGATCCTTCACGTGGGCGATGTAGTGCCCGGAATATGCGCTCACGCCGCGGTGTATGAGGACGGCACTAAGTTCATAGACGTAGACGCTGTCTGGAAGGAAAGCGGCAGTTATGCAGCACTCTGGATGGAACAGCACAGATCTTTGCCTCCCTAGGGCTTAATATTTTTGCAAAAGGCAGTGGACAAAGACCGCACTTGAACTTGCATCTCTCCAAGGCTTCGATAAGTAGGTTGTGGCTTCTACAACCCACTTCATGAGGCAGTTGTTTGAAACATGGGCCTCAAACAACACTTGACATGATTTTCCATCCAAAAAGGGATTCAGAGGAGATCTCCCCTCGTCTGCCAAGGGGCGATGGGTAAAGTTAACAAAACATGGCATGCAAAACTCACTTTTTTGCTCCATAAAAGGCTCCATGTCAAGCAGCTCAGAGAAGCCGATGTAGGTGTTGAGCTTTTTCTTATGGCCAGTTTGCCTGTGTGGAGGCAAAGCTTCATTTCAGGGGAACAGCAATAACGGTTCACACCTCAAAATAACTGCCCTTGAAACCAAGCGAGCATCCCCAGTGCAGCTCACACATGCGCTCCATCCTCAACCCCTCAGATCAGCGTGGATAACTTTCCAAAGAGCTTCTGCACAATCCAGGGTGCTCCCACCTTGACAGGAGGCTTACCTGTCAAACACGAAACGCATCAGCTGCAGGTTGAGCGTGCAGGGAAGACTTAGCAGCCTGATCTTCCTCGTGGCATTCTGCTTACTCTGACAAGTTTCACAAAAATAACGATTGTCCCCTTCTAATTTTTCTTCCTGAACGGGAAGGAAGGCAGAAAGAAAGGTCTTGAGAACAGGTTACCACTGAGAAGTCAACCAGGCCAAGCTACTCAACAGCTGGAGACTGAAAAGCACGGCAGTTATTTGAACCATTTAAGCCTCTACCCAGCTGCTTTCCAAAATAATCTCTTGGTTAAAAACCCATGCTAATAAATGCGCTCTATGGTACAGCCACAGTAGGCTGCTCTCGCTTTAAGGAAAACTTTAGGCCGAATCCAGCCCTGTTCTCAAGTCACTTACAAGACTGTCAGGTTTGCTCCCACTTGACTGAATCAGTTTATGAGGGCTATTGAAAAAGAAAATCATTAAAAGCGCCCTTTTATGAGCTCACACGGACCAGGTTAACGTACAGCCACATTTTAGCTGGGCAACTACGATCCTCTTGCATTCAGCCACACAAACATCGCCCTGTAAGAGACGTTGTCTACGCTTAAGGAGATCCAACGGCAGGATTAGGCCAGAGGAGAACTCCAGCCACCCTAAACAAGGTCATTGGATTGTTTCATTTGAAGGAGGGGCAGACAAACTTGAAGTTCACCGTTTCGGGATTTTAATGCGCATACACAAACCAGTCTTTTTTCATAGCAGACCTTCCCGCAAAGCAGAGCAACCGGTTTGCCAAGAGCATCAGCGAAGCCACTGCCCAAGAGCCAAACAGCTCAGGAACAGAGTCACATTTCACTTTAGTCCTGTCCTAAATATTTTTAGTTGAATCCACACCTCGAACCTTTAACAGGCCGGATCTTAAGTTAAGATCTAGGCAAATTTTCAAGTTGAATTAAGAGCACTTGCAGCTGTTCTGGCAGCTATTCCTGGTCCTCCCTAGTATTTTTGAGAGTGCATTTTAGAGCGGGGACCATCTCCTGTTGCTACGCAGATGAGCACCGATATAGAAAACACAAAAAGCAGCCATTCTCCCGGTGCTGCCCATGACAAAGCACACAGGGACTTTTTGTCAGACTTTGAGGTCTTCTTCCCAACTTTGCTGGGGAAGCATTTTAACTAAACATGTGACTTTCAAGCGCTTTTTAAAGCCATAACACACGCATGTGCCACGGTCCCAGAGCCACTCCTTGCTTGCATGACTCAACCCTCATTTTCTGGGTCTGCAGAAAAAAATCCAAACATTTCCTTCTGGATGTGTCTCACTGAGACAGCTCAGTCGCTTCGCTCCGATACTGACCTCAAAGGCTGTTAATTGGAGGGAGGAATTAAAACGCCTCGCTAAGAATAGCAGGACTCAAAAACCAGCGAGCTCGTACCTTAAGAAATTCCGTTATGCAGTCCGTCAGCTGCTTGTGCCCTTGGATGTTTAACTCCAGCTCATAAAATTTAGACACGAGTTTGGACTCCCTGCCGCACTGGTTGCAGCTAGGATTAAAAATAAAAAAAATAAAAAAAATAAAAAAAATAAAAACCTCAAAACACATGAGAACAGTTCACCGGCTCCTGTGTCTGAACTCCCCAGCCACCAGTAAATCACTCCTCGAGCTATAAAACCAGGAGAAAAAGTTGTTTAAGTCAGAATTGATGTGGTGGTTCACACCTCTACACCACAAACACTCTGCAAAAAGGTGGTAACGGGATAACAGTATCTACCAGGAAAACCAGGAGCACCTGCTTACAACTCGCATAGACCATTTTCTATCATTTTTGATGTGAAATCCGCAGCTCGGGGAATGCAAGAATTAAAATGCAACACCCAAGTACTCTATTTTCTGGCTGCAAGACCTTAAGTACCATTGACTCGCTTGCAGGCTTAATTGGTAAATTTTCATTAAGGGATTAAAAGCAGCTGGAAAACTGCAGCAGCATGCGCACAGAATCAGGAAACCTAAAAGCTAAAAACCTCTTACAAAATGTTTTGGCAGAAGCTTACCTGCCTTGCTCCAGATCTTCCCCTCCTTAAATTCTTCTAAAACATTTAAATATTTAGAGAAAGGTTCTTCCTCAGGACCAAATACTTACACCGTGACATAGGCGTACTCTCCACAGAACTGCTTTTGCACTATGTTTCGAACATCTGGGTTTTTTTGTTTGGACAAAGTATCTTCCAGCAGTGACATGAACAGCTTAGAAAACTCCTGGGCATCCTAGAAGAGAAAGCCAAGCCCATTAATAACATGCCACAGCACAAAGCCCAATCACAACCTTGTCGCTAATTTACCGCAAATTACCCAGAGCCCTACACACAGGCTGCACAGAGGCTCCGGCGTGCACTGAATAGAAAAAAAGACCAGTCGGGAGAACTAAAGAAAAAGAGGAATTCTCCTAAAAGGAGCGGGAGGCCCCCAGCGTGAGACCACGGCATGAGTTAACCTGGCTCCCAGCCAGCTGCACTGGGTGGTTTGACTTCTGCCCGGCTCCTCACAGGGCTCTGGAAGAAAAAAAAAAAACCTCCTGCAGAGTTTTCTATCCCGTTAACGCTCGTTTTTCAAAGCTCAGCACGCAATTCATGCCGTCCCTGCTTGTGTTATAAGTGAGAAGAAAAATAAAACCACCCCAAAAATGAGATGCTGCCCTGTGGATTCATCCCCTCCTGCAAGGCTTATGAGCTTCCCCACAGTCATCTCAGGGCCTTCCTCACCCATCCTCACTCTCCTCTTCTGAAAACAGAACGGGCTCTGGCCTCTGCCAGCTGTCCTCTATTATCACCGGTGGGTAGCGACCGCTTCCTTCACCTCCGGAGGAAATGCAATGCTGGCGCTCGGGCTCTTCCTCCAACAATCTCCCTCTCACTCCTCGAAGTGTATTTTCAAGCCATGCCCTTCTCCCGAGCCCTCTCTGTCAACAGCCCCTGCAGGACTCACCTGCAGTGCTCGCCCCTCTCCAACCCTGCTTTCCCTGCCCCACATGCTCGCGTTGGACCTCGGCTGGCTCTCGGTGACTCAACCAAATATCTCACCCTGCAAGGGCCCACCGAGCCACCCACTGCCAAGTATTTCCCTGCCCTGGGAGGAGCAGCCTATAAAGCATCTGCGAAAGGACCCTGGGTTCCCTCCGATCAGGCGCTAACAACACTCCCTGGGCTCCTCCTGCTCTCCCACCGATGGGAAGAGCCCTGAGCCCAGCTTCTCCCTTTGTGTTTGTCCCGAAGAGCAGCCCCCGCCTCAGAAATGCTAAATAACAAAAAAGGGCAGTTTCACACCATTTTAGAGAAGGTAATTACTCAAGGGGTGCACCCCAAACCTACCTGCTGCTGTCCAGTGTCCAAGCCCAGCGCTTTGACGAATCCAGAGGGGTCGATGTATCGCCTTTTGCTGTTCTGCAGCAAGGCGAACAAGTACTGGAGGTGTTCGCAAATGGTCTGAGGCTCATAGTCTACTTAAAAACAACAAGTCACACCAATTACAGCAAGGAATTCAAGGCAAGAGATAATTCCAAGTAATTCGCCTGTTCTTTCTTCATATGGGGAAATTTAATGATTAGAAATTATTTTTTTTTCCCTCCCAAGCTGTTTTAAATTATCATGAGAACCGAAGCAGCTCACGTCAGTGATGGCACTGAAGACCCAGTGCAGGCCAAATATCATCGAATCATTTAGGATGGAAAACATCGAGTCCAACCCTAAATATCCTGCAGCACCTAGCACGAGCTGTGGGTGAAGAGTTTAAGCAGCGCAGGCCGATTACCCCATAGCAACAGCTTCTTTTTTCCCCAAAACAGCAAGACATCATTTAAAAACACCATAAAACCAGGAACAGAAGAAACCAGGCAGCTACCCTGACCCAGAGCGCGCCCATCGCGCCATACCACACCATACCAGACATAAAGGTATGGCACCTGAGGCCATTGCGTCCACTGTGCGGGCAAACTGGGAGACTCATTTGTACAAGGGAACTAAATTTTTGGCCTCCCATGGGAGGAGCACGCCTCCACAGTAGTGCAGATCAACCCCAACCCATGTGCTTCCACCCCTGGCACCATCATTAAGCTGGGAACCAGTTTGGGAAGCAGCCTGGCAAGAAACAAACCCAAATCAGATTTTTCAACCAGCTCAGATCAATCTGATTTAAGAAACAACTCGGGTTAAGGCCAGTTTGTTCCTAAAAGCCGGGTGACAGACTCAAGAAGAGCTGAGTAGGGATCAGTTGTACCGATCCAAGCAGGAAGCAGTTGTAGCTTCTCCCATCAATCCTCCCGATAAACGTTATCCCAAAGCAGACACCAGCAGGCAAAATTTTAGGAGAAAACAAGCAAACCCACCCACCTTTGTCTTTCGGGATGCCCTCTCCGGACACGTACTCGTGGCAGGTGCTGGGACACAAGTAGAGGGCTTGTCGGAGCTCCAAGTTAAGAAACCACATCTGTAAGAAAGTGTTCACGTAGCACGTGGCGCCGAGATTCGTTAAGCCCACGAACGCGTTCTGGCGTAAGAAAGAAAGCAACAGTCATCACTTGCCGCTGCGGAGGAGCAAGCAGAAATCCAGCAGTTGGGGCGGCCGCTTTACAGCTGTTTGTTGGGAAAATGCCGCTCTGGCATCGTACAAACGGCCACATCTCAAATTCCCCAGCTACAGGAGGACACAAGGTTTCACCTCCCCTTGTCCCCATCTTCCCCCCAGGGACTGGGAAGGGCAGGGGATACTTTTTTGGTTTTTTGGGGAGGGGGGGCTACCTTCTTGCGGCGCTCGCAGTTTGGGTCGTCGATGTTGTGGAAGCTGTTCTCGTCTATCTCTCCCAGCCAGACGTGCTCCCCGATGCCCACCAGACAGTTGGGGTTCCCTCGGCAGTTCCTCCTGTAGGAGCAGCACCCACCTCAGCTGTCACCCCCATGGAGGGGACGCTGTTGTCCCTTTTTAGGGTAGGGGGGAGTGGGAGAGGGAAGGGATGAGGACAACAAGGGGGACCCCATAATGCTAAACAGAGTCAACAGGGTGGGACAGGGGTCCCTGATGCTGCCCAAAAGTGGTGCTTAGAGGAGAGCAAGGAGATCCCGAGGGATGGAGAAGTGTGTGTGTGAGGAAAGCAGGGGACCCCAGGGAAGAGTACAGGACCTGGTGAGGTCCCCTCCATCCAGGGAGGCAGAGAGAGGAGCTCCTTACAACCCCGGGGGTGATCCCCCGGGGGGGGCAGGCAAGGAGAGGGGCCCCCCCCAAAGCCGGGGGGG